AAAATGGGGCGTCTGTTTCAAATAGAAAGTGTACACTATAATGACGATTAAAGTAATATAAATATCGGATTAAAAATTAAAATCCATTAGAAATGCAAGCGCACACACTCACACACAGACACAGACACTTATATATATATATATATATATATATATATATATATATATATATATATATATTTATTTAAAATTATTATTTAAAATTAATATAAATATGTTATAAAATCGCTACAAAAATAGACATTTTCTTTCGACACATACGGTGTATTATCAAGTGATGATGTTGACATTCAACATCATCACTTCATAAGACACCAGTGTTGAAACAAAAATAGCTATGTTTGTAGTGATTTTATAACATATTTATGTTATAATTTTTAAATAAATAATTATATTCACTCTACTCTGTATTGAGCACTCTTTTAAGAATAGTAATTGTTGGTTATTGGAATTTATTCCGTATACATCAATCATATACTCTGGTATATATATATATATATATATATATATATATATATATATATATATATATATACACAAATGTAATGAGAACGAAAATAATATATAAATTCTAACGTTCAAAAGACGGCTCAATACACAGTTAGTTTATAAAAGTTATATTAATTTCCCATACTTTTATATACGTTTCTACTTATATCTTAATTTCTAAATTAAAATTATGGTAATAAAAAAAATACAAAAAAAAAAGAAAAAACTCGAATAACTTATATATTCAACATACCAAGAAGAAATATTCACCTCTTAATTTATTAATTTACAAAATTCATTGATTACAAAACTAGTAGTGATAACTCCAACCTAAATATATGCAATTTAGTTCTGGCTTAGTTTTTTAAAATAACCAAAAAAAAAAAAAAAACTTTTTCAATTACTACAATAACTATCGTTTGAATTTTTCCTTCCTTCTTTCATCATATTACTATCTCCTATTCTCACCCCCCATCCCTCTTAAAAGGCTTGGAAATACTGTGCCTAAACCCTTGACCGTTGGTGTCGAAAAGAAATTACATTAACATCTCAACCATTCTCCACCAAACTGCTATCAGCGACCACTATTGCTTCAATCTGTCACCTTTTTTCCTTCATGTAGGATGTTACATGCGGCTTGTTTACAAACATTATTGTTCATAAACATTTGGGTTCTCATCTGTCGAAGTGCAATTTTAAATGCACTGAAACGAAGTTGCATCTTTGTAGTGAGTAAATTGTTTTTGGCGTTCTCTCCCCCCCCCCTCTCTCTCTCTCTCTCTATATATATATATATATATATATATATATATATATATATGCAGTTAATTATTTTGCCTCTTCTTTCTCTGTCTTTCTGTGATGAGGAAATAATATTTACATTATTTCCATGTGTCCTCATATTGTCTTCATCCTTGTTATGCCTTTGGTTTTCATCAAGTGTATCTTGATCTAGATAACATAGAGGGAATTTCAAACTTAACCCATGGGTCGGTTGTTTTAATTCCACTGCCCATGTCTAATGATCTCGCCTTGTTCTTAGGTTTAGTACTGCTCAGTCATTCCTCGCCCTCGCTTGGAAAATTTGATTCTCACAGAACAGATTGAAGGTAATAGGGTCAGAGGAACGCAACTCCCATCCTACCTGGCGAACTTGAGCAAAAGGATGACGGTGCAGGCTTTGGGTGAGATGGCGAAAAGATAAATGTTATTAAAAGCGACAAAGGACAAGAAATTGTGGAGAGACATGTTCACCAACGCTCTGAAGGGATATAGCATGAATAATAATAATAATAATAATGATAATAATAATAGTAATTAATTACTATTATTATTATTTTTAGTATTATTATTATTATTATTCAGTCTGTGGGTCAGGCGGTGTACTTGGACTCAATGGAAATGGGGGCAAACTAAATTGTTCTCAATAAGAAACTTTTTCAATTTCCGTGCATATAACCTTGGTATTGGCACTTCAGCGTTGTGTAATCGTATGCAAGATTGTCTCTCTAAATCAACTACGAACCTCCTGGGTATGACGATAAACTATATCCGGCAGCAAGGCCTCTGATCGGGAGATTTTGAGAAGTGTCGAACCACCTGTTAATTACCGTTGTTCCTTGGTCTGCCCTGAACCGGGCTGGTAGCGCCTGTTAGGGCCCAGATATGGGCAAATAATGAACCCTTACACTGGGGTTAAAACACTATAAAAGTATGAAAATATATTTTTATAGTAAAAATACCAGTTAAATATTTTCATAGTAAGAGAATTACCATCAATACAATTTTGTAAAGAAAATTACTAATGCAACAAAGAAAATTAAATTTTGGCATTAAATGACCCATAAGGGGTTGATATGTCGCTAAACAAACAAACAGAATCAATTACGATTGGATAGTGAGTTTAATTCTCACTGAGTGCTCCATACTTTCAGCCTTGTGTCATATCTACGCTACGCTCAGAAAATCCCCATATAATACTGGTTTACATGGTCAAAGCTAAGCTATTTTTATAATTCCCAAATGACCTCATTTTTAGACTAGTTCTGAATCAACTATTTTTTTTAATTATTCCTTTTACCGCAATCAAGGCGATAATACCACTAGAATTTTAGGGTTTACAAGGAGTGGAATGATTTAGAAGGGGAAGATTGAAAATGAGGAGGGTTGAGGAATGGACAATAAGGATCAGGCTTCAAGAAGACAGATGCCGATTGACGTTACGTGTACATTTTTGAAGATTGTATTTATTAGGGAAGCAAGATACCGACAGGGAGTTCCACAGGTGGGAAGTGCGATAAAAGAAACTGTTGGTGTAGAAGTGGCGTCTGCCTCGAGTTAGTTCAACAGTAAAACGGAGAGACCTACTTGCCAATCTAGTAGCGCGCTTAAATTTATGTAATTGGGGCAGCAAGGAATAAAAGTCCATCAGAGTAGTTGCCTTGAAAATATTTGTAGAACAGTGAAAGGAAAGTCACGTCACATCGGTGGAATGTATTCCTCAGACTCAAGCTCTTCATTCACTATCCTGCATAATTATACTGCACAAAATATAGTTATTAGGTTTAATATATTCTTTATTTCAATCGTTTCTTATAGCCCCTTAGGAAGACATCGGGAATTTATTCACGTTGTAAGGAACATTGGGACATTGTAAGTAAAACTTTGTTTTGAAGGTCTGTGCCACTTACGTGCTAAAATCAACCTGCAGTTTTTTTTAAGTAATGAACAGATCTTATGATCCCAGACGAAACAGAGATAAAAATCTGGTGAAAGACTAAAGTCAGGCGGTACGCATAGACTCCAACAGACATTAGTACCAACTATAGATGAACGGGAGATTTCTTTAGCAAATTTTCCGATTGTTTTGCTAGCAAGCCAAGGCTATACTTAAAATGGTAAGTATTATTTGTTTATATGTTACATTTATGAGTATGAGAGACTGAAGTAAATATGCCAGGTTAGGACCGATAGTATCGCAGACTTTTCGATTAATATTTCATCAAATCTGCGTTTCTGTTTTAATATGCCCGGTCTGTTTGGGCCTCCATTTTTTCTTGAAGATATATTCTGACCAACCATTAAGTTCAAGTCTCGCTTTAAATGTTCCAATTAATATTAACTACCAACTGCTATTAACCACCAAAATTTGAAATAATAATACAATTATACGCTGATAAACACGTGTTCCATATTTGCTAATACAGAAAACACAGCATTCATCAACAATTTGTATTTCAATAAGTACTTGTAATGTCTGTTTCCAAGATGATCCAAGTGGAACGTTGAGGAAATTACTTATATTTCGACGTTGACACATCAAACGGACTTTTTATTTAACATTTGCCGGAGGAGCCAGTTGACACTATCGTTATTATACATTACAGAAAATAATTGACAATAATTACATATAAGTAAGCTCATAAGAAAATGACAACGGTCAAATAATGCAGATTAGGTTTCGAATTGCAGCGAGGGCCATTTGAAAAGCTCTTTAATCAAATCGTTTGTGCGGGATTTGCTTTTTTTTTTTTTGTAATATTTGAACAAGTACATCCCAGTCATTATTAAAAGTAGACATGTTTATCATCAGTGAGCCTACTGTGGTGTGTTAGCAAACTCCTCTCGTGGGAGAGTTAGTAAAAACCCGTGACCTCGATCCTCACAACATAAGGTCAAACTGGTAGCTGATCTAAAAAAATCATGGCCTATAATCTGTTAACTGGGGCAAGAAAATGACTTTTTAACGCCTCCAAAACAAAAAACACCTTTTTGAAGCTTTTTTTTGTGTGTGGGGGGGGGTGATGGCTTTCATCAGCATGGTTGATGCTAACCTCCAGGAGCGTGAACCCTTTTCTCGGGCTAACATTTTCCACTGATACTAAGTGGAAAGATTATATTGAATCAATTGTTAGGTCTATTGCCAGAAAAATTGGTTCACTGTGTGGTCTTAGACAATTTTTCTCGCGAAAATCTTACACATTTATAAGCCTGCCATTGGTCTATGCATTGAATGCTAATGTAACAACTGGACTAGTGCTTCTGTCATGCATTTTGAGATTCTTGATGAAATAGAAAGAAGAATCTGCAATATTATTAGTCTTATCCTGGCATCTCAACTTTAGTCAATTTCCCACCGCCGTAGCGTATCTTCTCTCTCCCTTTTCTACAAATATTTTCACGGTAATTGTACTGAAGAGCTTTCCTCTTTAGTTCCTAGGCTTTACGAATATAAGCATACTACCAGACTGACGACAAGGTCTCATCATTTTATAGTCGAAATGGCAAGATGCAACCGTAAGTTCTATGCTAACAGTTTCTTCCATGGCTCTTCTCGATTGTAGGACTCTCTTTCGGCACTTAACCTGACTTCAAAAAATTAACTGAAATGTTAATCGTTATTTTCTGTCTTCTTAATTCCTGTTTTTATTATTATTATTATTATTAATAATATTATTATTCTCTCTCCTTAATAATGTTTTCTTTTTCCCACATCCTTTCTCCCTCCATCAATGGGTAAGACTTGTATCAGTAAATCTTTATTTTAAAAAAAAATCTTTATCTGTCCATATCTCTAAGGTAAGATAAGGTATTAATGATTACTTGTATTAATTACATTATTCGGACTGTTATCTTCATCTTCATTACCATATTCCCAACATTTCTGCCGTTGTACGCTCCGGCCATCTTCAGGTAATTGGAATTTCGAACCGAACCCTTTATTTCGTCCACCAGGAACATTGTTCTAGATTCTTGTAGAAAGCACGAAGGAAAATAACTGAGACATCCGGAAGATGCATGGTACGCGGAACTAGAACAATCTACCCCGGTGGATGAAATAAAGCTTTCGGTTCGAAATTCCAATCATCCGAAGAAAGCCGGAGCGTACTTCGGTCGAAACGTTGTGAATATGGCAATGACGATGAGAATAACAGTCCAAATAATGTAAATAATGCAAATAAAAAAAAAGTAATCTAAGAATATTTTCTGGCTTTAAATAACCCGCAAAAGGTCGATTAGCCGTAAAAACGAATGAAACAGACAAACGGTTAGTAATGAAACCCCCACCAATACTGGGAAGTAACAGCAGCTAAAGGACTTAAAAAAATCACTTATCCTAAAAAAAACTGCTTTCAGAGAAACATGTTTGATGAATTTATTAAACAATGCCATGTATTTCTAGGATGTTGACGATCATGACTCTCCACAGATCTTTGCATTGTATTAGCCGTGAATTGCCATGAATTCTTGGGTTGTTTCCTGTTGCCTTCTCCTCAGTTTTGAATTTAGAGTAGTCAGCTTAGACTGGCTGCTAGCAAAGGCTAGAAACCCAGTCTACCCTGCTATTTAACCAGGAACTGGGGTAGAAAGAAATGGAATCATGGCTTCCCAAAGGTTATTAGTGCGAAGCAGACTAGGGCACATTATGAAATCGGTTCGCTGATTTCAATTTCCTCTTCTGTAAGTGTTACCGGATCGCACATCCTCTTTTTAAAATCGACATTGAGGTTGTTAATTTTAAATAGTTTTCCAAGAGTACACAATGTCTTTTTTCATAAATTCTTTCTTTCTTTGATAATGTTCTTTTCCCGCTTACGATTTACATTTTGTTGTTTTGTTTCTTGGTTTGAGTCTCCCCTGCTTCATTCAATCATTCTTTCTTTCTTTCTTTCTTTCTTTCTTTCTTTCTTTCTTTCTTTCCTTCCTTCCTTCCTTCCTATACTCAAACCTATTTTCTCTTACGATATTTTACTTTATGTTTTTCTATAGGTTTTCCATGATTTTTTTTTTAATTTTAGGATTTTTTTCTTTTACTTTTTTGCCTTCCGCTTATTTCGCTCTGCTTTTTTTCTTTTTAAATGCCCACATTAGTTTTATTTACACTTATTTTCTTCTTTACGGACATATTTTATTTCTTTTTCTTTATTTTCTTTCTTTTTTTCTTTCTTTCCTATTATTTACACTTATTTTCTCATGGACACATTTATTTTTCCTTCCTTCCTTCATTCATTCCTTCCTTCCTTCCGTTTTTTTTTTCCATTTATTTTCTTCTTTATATACACATATTTTTTATTTTCCTTTTTTCCTTCCTTCCTTCTTTCCTTCCTGCTAATTACACGTATTTTCTTATGGACACATTTTATCTATTTGTTCTTTCTTTCTTTCTTTCTTTCTTTCTTTCTTTCTTTCTTTCTTTCTTTCTTTCTTTCTTTCCTTCCTTCCTTCCTTCCTTCCTTCCTGTTATTTACACTTATATTCTTCTTTACGGACATATTTTATTTCATTTTCTTTCTTTATTTTATTTTTTTTCTTTCTTTCTTTCTTTATTTCTTTCTTTCTTTCTTTCTTTCTTTCTTCCTTCCTTCCTTTATTCATTTATTTATTTATTTATTTCCTTCCTATACTCAAACCTATTTTCTCTTACGATATTTTACTTTATGTTTTTCTTTAAGGTTTTCCATTATTTTTTTTAATTTTACGATTTCTTTTTTTTACATTTTTGCCTTCCGCTTATTTTTTCCATTTCGTTCTGCTTTTTTTCTTTTTAACTGTCCACATTAGTTTTATTTACACTTATTTTCTTCTTTACGGACATATTTTATTTCTTTTTCTTTATTTTGTTTCTTTCCTTCTTTCTTCCTTTCTTTATTCCTTTCTTTCTTTCCTTTTATTTACACTTATTTTCTCATGGACACATTCTATTTATTTTTCCTTCCTTCCTTCCTTCCTTCCTTCCTTCTTTTTTTTTTTCCATTTATTTTCTTCTTTATATACACATATTTTTTTATTTTACTGTCTTTCTTTCATTCTTTCTTTCTTTCTTTCTTTCCTTCCTTCCTTCCTTCCTTCCTTCCTTCCTTCCTTCCTGTTATTTACACTTATTTTCTTCTTTATGGACAGATATTTCATTTAGTTATTTATTCTTTTTTTTCTTACTTTCTTTTCTTTCTTTCTTTTATCAATACATATTTTTTTTTCTTTCTGTTTTTCTTGATTCTACAATTTTCTATCTCTTCCATTATAATCTTTCATTTTTCTTGTCACTCCTTGTTTTTCGACGGTTTCTTTCTTTCTCTCTTTCTTTCTTTCTTTCTTTCTTTCTTTCTTTCTTTCTTTGTTATCAACCTTGATCTGTCTTCTTAGTTGGTTTGTGCTCTTCCTCCAAGTAACCTTATTATTATTATTATTATTATTATTATTATTATTATTATTATTATTATTATTATTATTATTATTCTCCGAAAGAGAAGAAGAAAAAAAAACGTCTTTAGTGTCACTGAGGGCAACACTTGAATAACCAATCGACGCCAAACTTTGATACAGGACAGCGTAACAAGGGTGCACCTGTTCAGTTAAAGCCCCATGCAGACCCCCACATCTACTCCCCATGTCAGTAGGTGCATTCATATTGCTGACCCCTAGTCAATAAACGTCCTACAAAGAACATCGCCTCGTAGAGAATTCAAAATAAAAAAAAGAAGTTTTTGAACTGATTCAAATTGGCCATAAATCCTTTCTATTCTTTTAACTATATTTTCTTCCAAAACATATATATAGATACATAGATATATGTGTGCGTGTGGATGTCTGTGTGTGCGTGTGGATGTCTGTGTGTGCGTGTGGATGTCTGTGTGTGCGTGTGTATAATCTGTTCGAGTGTGTTATCGAGTTTTGTAAGTGCTAATAAAATATCTACTTTTTTCACCTGTTTTAGTAATAAAATATTTGATCGATCTACAAAGCTTAACTTTAAATATAAGCCTTCTTTTATATCATACATTTTAGTAATGTTTGATTTTTGAAATAAAATTCTAAGGTCATCATAGTATTTTTCGTTTGTTGATTCTCCAACCTTTTTCAGACAGCATTTTCAAATTCTGATCATTCAGTCTCTTTCATTTCGATATATTTCATATATAAGTTAATTTCTGAAAAATCAGAACAATGAGAAAATAGAATAGGCGTTCCGAGTTCAATCCCTGTCGGATTCGCTGCGTTCACTTTAATGCAAATACGCTAGAGAATGGTATGAATCCATTTCTTCTCTCTACAGGTAGGGGTCAGATAACAGAGCAGACTGGAAATTCTAGCCTTGGTTGCCAAACAGTCTAATAGAAAAAATTATTTGAATGGAAAACCTGTTGGACGTAAGTTTCATTGATTTGTCATTTTTACGGTTTATCCATCTTTTTGCAGGTTATTTAAAGCCAGAAAATTGACAAATAAAAGATTGGGTAAGTAAACATTTAGGAAAGCAATTCTCTGTCTGTCTGTGTGTAAAAGTTATCAATTACGATGTAAACGCACAAAAAATGACATATAAAAACATGCAAACACAGAATAATAATAATAATGGATAGAATTTATCAGGCTGAAAATAATTAGATAGATAGATAGATAGATAGATAGATAGATAGATAGAATGATTACTTGCATTATTTACATTATTCGGGCTGTTATCCCAATCTTCATTGCTATATTCACAACGTTTTGGTCGTCTACGCCCCGGCCTTCTTCAGGTGATTGGAATTTCGAACCGAACCCTTTATTTCGCCCATCGGGATAGATTGTTCTAGTTCCACAAGTTCCTCAAGGACACATGAACCAGTGAATAAAAGACGGTGGCTAGATCCAGTGGCTAGACCAAAAGAGTTGTGAATTCAATACCAGGCCTCAGCAGTGGTGAATCAAAACTTGCAGAGTTGAATTAAAGGCAAATAACCGAGGCATCGAGAAGAGGCATGGCACATGGAACTAGAACACTCTATCTCGGAGGACAAAAGAAAGTGTTCGGTTCGAAGTTCCAATCACCTGAAGAAGGCCGGAGAGTAAAACGGCCGAAACGTTGTGAAAATGGCTATGAAGATGAGGATAACAATCCGAATAATGTAAATAATGCAAGGCTACTTGTTGTTTCCTTCTGTCCCTCCTGTCTTCAATATGTCCTGTGAGTGTCAAATTCTCCTAGCCTTCTTTAGACATTAAGTGCTCTAAAAATTTCAACTATCACTTTCTGATTCAAAGTATGAATGCCATTATTGTTTCCATATTCCTTTAAACTTCCTCGTTGTTTACATGCACCGTTCAGGGTATTCTCGGTGTTCTTTTGTAAAACCAAATCTCTGTTGTCTCACGTCTTCTCTTTATGTGTAAGGACATTATCCACCATTAACAGCCTTATAACAGTTCAACACTCATTTTTTATGAACATTTCAACTCTCATTTCTTAGTTCATTACAGTTTGTTAAGGTTTTAGAAGGTAACTTTCGCCATCTTAATCCACCTTTGAATTCCGGTGTCACATTTATTTTATTATCTCTGAAAAGACTTCCCGACGGAAGAACTTTGATGAATTAACTTTAACAGTTGCTGTCTCTACAAAATTGATTTTTTTCATCGCTTATATTTTGGAACACAATTTGCTATCTTTATGGAATTGTTGCGTATTATATGAATTAATGCACCGACAATTTTTATATAAAATGTATTGCTCGTATTTTTACGATGAAAGTACATTTTAATATCTTCATATTGCTTTCTTTTCTTTTTTGCTTTTGTTTGGGGCTTCACGATTTGCCCATAGCTGTAAGCCTAACAGATGCTACTACCCCTGGACCTAGAAAAACAACAGTTAAGTGGTCGTTCAACACTCCTTAAAACCATGAATCTCCCGAACGGAGGTCTTGCTGCCGGATGTAGTTTATCGTCTTACCCAGGACTACTCAACAAAATCACTATGAAGAAGGCAATGGGAAATCACTACACTATCAATCCTAAGAAAAATCATGGTTCTGTGCAATTACAACATATAGCTTTTGTTAGGAAACATGATGAAAAGTATTTTCTGGTTATATTTCCTGAGTTTTTTTTTACCGACTTAGTGTGATGTGTGAACAGGTATGTACTAATTACAACGAGTGGAAATTTTGACGCATTTAATAAAAAATAGACTCTTACCTGAGATATCAATTAATTACAAAGAAAAGAAGATATTTTAATGCATTCTTTAGTCTAAAGAATTTTCCCCAAATCTATAGGAATTAAGATTTAACGTAATTTAAATTTATTTAGTAAGAGATTAGATTTAATTCCACACTTCTTTTTTATAAAAAAAAGATTAAACGCTGTAAAATACAGTAATACTGTCTGACATTTTTATTTGAATTAGTTTTAAATATTTTTAAGATACTTTTTTTTCCCCGTGATATCAAGTATTAAATATTTCTGCTGCTTTAATGAAAACTAAAACTTGATCAACCTTAACGAATTTTGACGGTTAAAAGATGCTAATTTAAACTAAATCAACGGTTTTAGCTTTAAAAACTTTATCCGTCCTTATGTTTTTTTTTAAGTAAATCAAGAATTTTGCTGTAAAAACAAAATTCCTCCGTGTTCCAATTTTATACTAAACTACCAGCATGGCCCGGCGTTGCCCGTTCTTGATTAAAAAATCGTACGACTCACACAACAACCGCTATCACTTGATTTAAAATACTTTTGCCCTTCCTTGCCTTTTAAATGAGTGCCCTTTGCCGTGCTGATGTTGCTACATGCCTTACTTTTTGCCTATCTCACACTGCGAATTTTTTCGAAGCTCTATACTAAACATTAAATCTGTTACGAAAAAAGAACTAAAAAAAATGAACACAAAACGATCAGCTTTAAAAAAGGACTCTTAACTGGAAAAACCGAATGAAAAAAGAATGTTAACAACAAATACTTTTTCACACCCAACCCAGTTCTGTGGAATCAGAATCAACGTTGAGTTTAAGCAAGCGAATGAGCCAATTGGAGTAAAGTGCCATGTGGCACCATGCATACCTGACGAGCTGAAAAGAAATATTCATAGATATATGATTTGTTTTTTTTTACGGTTTATCAACCATTTAATAATTATTTAGGGCCGAAAAATATTTCGGGTTTTAAGAATAATTCTTTCTTTACGTTCAAGCGATCTGGAAGAAGGAAAGAGAAAACGAAGAAAAAGAAAGAAAAAATAATACGAAAACAGGTCATAGGCGAGCACACACACGCTCGGCAGACAGATAACAGGTGTCGAAAAATATCCAGGTCAAGCATCTAACCGAGATCTGGGGAAAATGGAAGTTGTTATCAATTGGTTGAAGAAACGAAGTTTAGGGACAATGAAAAATATTGATAAGTAACAAGTGGAAAGTGTGTCATTGGGATGATAGTAAAAGTCTAAGTGGGTGGGGAAGTGTATCTAAGGATATGAAGGCAAACCATTAATACGAAAACCCAGACAATCTCCAGAATTGGAAAAAGCCACACAAGATGATGTCGCTGAAAATTTTTTTTTTGAGATAATAAAGATTTTTATTATCGGACCTTCGGCCGGAGGAAAATGAAATATTTTTATTTCGTTCAAAAAAACGCCAACAGGTCTGAGAAATCCCTTTCTTAGGTCATATCCAATTAGCGATAAAATGCTTGACAAATACCACGTGTTAAACAGCCGAAGGTGTCATCGCAGTCGCTCATGATAAGGGCGATTTAAATTAATATTTTTGTTTTTTTAAGCAAGGTGTTTCTTTCCCAAAACAAAGCCACGGATTGTCCACGCCCGACTAAAGACGTCATTGGCTAAATAAGATCACATGACACACGAAGGAGGAGGAAAGATACCCGACCAGGACCTCATTGGCCGAGAGCGGTCACGTGACGCACGAGGAGAATCGGTCGACGCCCCTGTCAGAAGTGTAAGTGTAAGGAGCCGATACGAAGAAGCGGGGAAGCGGGTATACGCCCCTCAGAGGCACAGTAAGGAAGTGGGAGTGAGAGTGAGTTACCGAAAAATGGAAAATCCCTAACCAGAAATAAGAAGGTTGGATACGTATTTAGAATTATCGAAGAAACCCCTGGCGCCGACAGACCCACCCCAGTTTTGACTGCGTCAATAAAAGCGAAACCCCAACCGACAGAAATCAGTTAGAGTTTGAGCAGCGGACGGCGAAAGAGTTTTGAGCCGTGGACGACAAGCAGAGATGAGCGCCCAGTGTTGAAACCGCGTCAAGATAGCTGACCAAGATTCACGCACACTTCTGGACTCTTCTTCAACCAAGAATAAGTAGTTTGAAGAGCGACTTAGAATCAGACCACAGAAATAAGTTTTTTTCGACTTT